TCCGCTGTGACTAATAGCGGCAAAGAAACAGCGGGAAATGTGGAAAAAATCGGGGAAACAAATTCTTTTATATGTTTGTGGGTTTCCGATGCGTACGCTGCGAAAACAGTTAAGGATATTTAAATAAAACACTTTAACGGTTTTAAACGCGTACTTGCCGTGGTCACGGGGAGACCACGGCTGCTGCAAAGTATCCGAAACGTCGGGCCGAAGTTAAAAATCATTTTCAAATAAGTTTCACTAATATATCGCGTTTTAAACCGTTATAGTGTTTATTTAAATGTGTACTACTCGTGTAAACTATAGACAGTATTCAGTTAAGGATACTCAAAAAATATGTATATACAAATATGCTGCCCAAAATTCTACGCGGACGAAGTCGCTGACACAGCTAGTATAAACGCCAATGCCGTGCTCTTTGGGTATTACAAATAGTACAACGGTATGCGAGTTTGATTGTCACCAAGTTTAAAATTCAATGCAATGGGTCTTAGGAACCGCCATCTATCACTATGCACAAATGTCAGTGTCCCAATGTCAAAATCCGAAATAGGTCAACTGCGTATTTTAATACGAGGTTGTATTCTGTCATTAAAATATTTGTAGGTAGAAAAAGTAAAAACTCATTAAAAAAACAGAAAATTGAATATAAAAAAAATTACGGATTTTCCGCGTCATTATAAATTCACTAGCTGCGCCCGCGACGTCCGCGTGAATTAGTTATTTTAGGCATCACATTTAATTTTCCAATTATGTTGATGCAATTGTAACAAACATTTGTTAATACCATAAAAACGATTTTTGCGAGTTAATCTTAAAAGATACAGATACAGCCACCGACATTTTTGGATCATATAAAGAGGAATCATTCTTCCATAGATATTTTTTGATTTCTCGCTCCGTTTCTCGCTGCGTTTGCTTGCAGCGTGTTATTATGTAGCTTTAAACCGTCTCCGATAAATGGTCTAGCCATCACTATATAATTCGAACCAGTAGTTCCCGAGATTAGCGCATTTAAACAAACGAACTCAATTGTTAGGAAACTAACGTTACCGCTGTAGTTTAGATGGCAAGCGAAAGCGATGTTTGTTTAGAAAACTGACTGAGAAAACTCAAATACAAACTGCATGTACTTGTAGTTTATAATACGATAGAAAAACAGTATGAGCGTGGAATAGTAAACAAAATTAAATATAATTGTCTACAAACATTGTCTCGGTTGAAGGCTTTACCTCGATGGATAATGCAGGAAAAGTTTTAGAATTATTTACGAGTTTTACCTCGTAGAATATATACAGTTCTCGTGTTTTAAATTAAATAAAACAAATTTTAAACGGTTTAAAACGCGAAATATATTAGTTAGTCTATTTTAACTACAATCTTTGTAGCTTAATAGTTAAACGTGTTGCCAAGCATTGCATTAAGCGAGAGAGATCCTAGCTTCGAAATTCGACAATAGATGTGTCGGTTGCAGTCGGAAAAGAAGTCTAGTCTGATCTTCACTTGTATAAGAACCAATCAGAGAAACGGACACAGAAATATGTCCGCCCCAAGCCCCACATTAATTTTTTCAAAACTAGGGCTCAATATTTCCTATGCTTTGCAGTAGTCGTGGACCCGGGGGAGCAATACGCGTTTTAGACTGTTAAAAGTGTCTTATTTAATTGTGAACCTATACTACAGACAATACTGAGTTCTGTTACATATCTCGAACAAGATAAAAATCTAGTTTACCTTTAAATATTTCAAAACTAGTACTTAAAAGTTATTTTATGTAGGAATTAATATTATCTCAAACATGTTTACAATTCTGCCCTTCTAAAAGTCGTAATATGTTATTTTTTCTAACTTGGCAAAAGACTCTCACAAATATGGCCGATTACAAACGTGATGTTGTTACCACAGATGACACAAGGATGAAGAAATATCGATTATATATGGATCAAACGACCTCAATATTCCAAATCTGTCTTATGATTTTTATATTTATACAATTTTTGTGCCATTATTATTTAACTTGACGTTTGTAACGCTTCTCAGCGATCGTGCGTGAGTGGGACTTTCTTCTATTGTCGTTGACTTTGCTTATCCCATCACTTTGTAAATGTCTTAAATACTGTCTGTAGTTTGTGAGTAGTACACATTTAAATAAAACACTTTATCGGTTTAAAGCGCGATATATATTAGTTTTACTTTTTAGAAAATTATTTAACTAGGTACCCGACGTTTCGGATGCTTTGCAACGACGAGAAACTATTTTTTAAATAAGTTTTAAATAATAAAAGTGCTTTATTTGAATTTAATTCATATTAATTTAGCGTGATTTTGTGGTTTTTTTGAGTGAATTTTAGGTAGTTTAATATATAATCCAGTGTCTCAAAGTGATTTTATTATAAATAAATGTAAACCTTGTGAAGAAATAATTTCATATACATTCGTCAATAAGTACTTTGGGTAATATATTTAGATCTTTTGAAAAACCATTCTTTCACACATATTGTTTCGGTATCTTGAACCGTTTTCGCAGCATACGCATCGGAAACAAAGATTAGTAATTTTCCCTATTGGCCGCTGTTTCTTCGCTGATGTTAGTTACAGCACGACGATTTATAGCCTTCGATAAATCTTCCTCGATAAATGCTCTAAGCAACACAAAAAAAATTTGAACCAGTAGTTACTGAAATTAGCGCGTCCAAACAAACAAACTCTCTTCGGTTTTATAATATTAGTAGAGTTTAAAAAACATATTGAAATCGCTGGGAGTCGGTACACATTGCTACCATTAGACCGTCGTATCATACGAACAAAAGACCACGAACGCTTGCGCAATCCAATTTATCAACAATATCGTTCAAAATGCATTACTTATAGAAATTACGAAATTGTACGTCGGAATATTTCCAATATACAATAACATACTTACTCTCGTGTCAAGGTTTAATTAATGGTTCAATTATAGCTGTGCCCGCGACTTCGTCCGCGTGGAATAGTTATTTTGTGCACCCAAATTTGTAAACGCTCCTCTTCATATTTATAAATTTAAACTGTCCAAATAACTTCGTCAGCTTTAAAAAAAAGCTATTATCTACTACGTCGTCCGCGTCCCGTCATACTTGCGAAGTAATCTTAAAATATAGACGGTCAGGGACATTTTTAGATCATTTAAAGGAGTGTCTTGAACCGTTTTTGCAGTGCACGCAACGGAAGCATTCAAAGATATTATTTATAAATCAAAATAAATCAAATTATATATTAATAATTTTCATCTTCATCTTCGTCTTTATTTTATGTGTATATTTGTAATAACTCAAAAAGTACTCAGTAGATTTAAAAAATCAAATTTTTTATTAGTTTTAAATGAGTACCTACCGTCTGTAGATTACGCGAGTAGTATACAATTAAATAAAACATTTAACCGTTTAAAACACAAAATGTATTATTTAAATAAGATTTTAACTACGGCCCGACGTTTAATAAGTTTTAAATATATTTTATATAAAGCGTTTTAAACCGTAAAAAGTATTTATTATAGTTTTAAATGCTTAAAATAAAGTCACATTTGTGGGCTTTATTGGTTGATATAATTTATCGGTTTGTCCGAGATTGAAAAAAATCTATGCCTACCGTAAACCCACCGGCGATATGTTTTACCTAAGTTTACACAACGTACGAGATACGATAGCTCAATTGTTAAAAGCAACTCTGCGATCGTAGGTTTGAATGCAGCTAGTTACATTTTTAATTTGATCATTTATTTTGTTATTTGACAAATTATATATTTTACCTCTAACACGGTCTCATACCGTAGTGTAATGACCTTTTCTTCATTGTTGTACGTATCAAACTGTAGGACGTAAAAATTTGCATATAAATTGTTATTTTCAGTGACTTTGAATTATACGTTATTAAAAATACTAATAAGACGATGTGTCATAATAGGTACATAACATATAAATTTTATATAGATAGGTATAACATCCAATTAACGGGAAAAATCTCCGAATAATCATAACCGAAGGGTCGACAACACATCTTATTTAGATATTATTTGTCCTCATTAGTCATAAAACAGCTCAAGTTTTTCACTACCTGTACAAGTTTGAATTTAGAATTGAAGTATTCTTGATACACCATTCCAAATTCAAATATATATAATTCTGAAATCATGTACGATATTTATTTTACGCGAGTCGTATATATTAAAATGAAACATTTCTAACGAATTGAAACGCGAAATATATTTTTATTTAACTGTCTAGGTCCGTCCGCAAACAATCAGAAACGTCGGGAGGTAGTTAAATAAGTTTAGCTACTATATTTTGCTTTTTAAATATATATAAGTGTTTTATTCAAATTCTGAACTTAAGGGATTCGCCATATAAGCAAATTTAATGTTTTATTCGTTGAACCTTTCCGCTTGTACATCAAGGTTTACTGACCCTATAATAAAATCATCCAGTTTTGATACAGATAGTCTGCAATATATCTATACTAATCCAAACTAAGTCAAAATAAATGAAAACTAACAAACTAATGAAGTTTAATACATTTCGCGTTTTAAACAATAAAATAATTATCTATGTCAATAATAATTGACACGAAAAACGCCAATAACATAAAACGCAATATTCACCGTAATTAAACGCGATAATAATTACGCAATTATAAAGAAATGTGTGTTCAGCAAGTGTTAGCCGCGTTCGATTCTTGAGTAATCTATATCTATACTAATATATATGGCTGAAGAGTTTGTTTGTTTGAACGCGCTAAATCAGGAACTACGGGTTAGAATTGATAAGTTATTTTTGTGTTGGTTAGAGAAATGTGGAAAAAACTGGGAAAATTATTCATATATAAAATAATTATTCCTCTTTAAAAAAAAAAATAAGATTAACTTGCTTGATAGTTTATAAAGTTTAAGGGGTTTGCAATAACGATTTTTGTCCAAACTATTCTACGCGGACGAAGTCGCTGACACAGCGTGAGCAATAAAAACTTACTTGGCACGTCCGATCCTTCATCCATACCATCCATGATCGCCAACTTGCTCGGCCGCTTGTCATCGTCAGATTTTAAACCCATTGTCACAGTTTGAATTAAGAACGAATTTAAAAATGGAACACTTGTTATTCGAATGTGTCGTAATTTATTTCGCGTCAGATCGTCATGGCGTCTCGCGTGCACAGTGTCTCGGGGATCGTACTCAACTGCCGCGGCGCATCGAGTAGGCTCATTTAAAAGCCTCCTGTTTACTTATCGCGTATTTGAACATGCGCAGGAGTAAAATTGACAGTTGATAAAATCAATTATTTATATTTGACAGATTTATCACGATTTTTCGTTTAATCTAACGCTAAGGCCGGATATTCGCTTGGCGATAATTTTTGAGAGACGCACCACTATGGCGCGGTGAATTTTAGCATAGGTAAAGAATAGATTATTCATTATATGGAAAATATTCCGGCCACAGAATATCAGTGTTAGGACATTAGTCCCAATGTTGCTGAATGGTTTCGTTTTCAGAGGTGACTATATTATTGTATTTAGTTATATAATATTTATGTAAATGGTCTTGTTTCGGAATAAACATATTTTTACTATATTCTATGCAATAGTGTTTTTAAACTATACTAATATATAAAGCTGAAGAGTTTATTTGTTTAAACGCACTAATATCACTACTGGTTCGAATTGAAGAATTATTTTTATGCTTGTTAGAGCATTTGTCAAGGAAGGCTTTATAAAACCTCTTCGTAGTAAGCCTCTTCGAAAGTTAATAAATAGGGTTCGAATCCTGGACCTCGATTTGCAGTCGAATGTACTAACAAGGTAAAACATGTTGTGATCGCCTCTGAATGGTAAAACGTATTGCTTAGAGATTACGAGAGGTTCTGAATTCGAATCCCCAGGAAACAATAGATTGATTCGGTAATCGAGGGCACAGAAGTCTGCCTTGTCGGAAATGGGCATCGCTGCTGGGAGCTTTGGAGTCGTACAAACGTGTTCCCAGGGCTCCCTATGAGCACCGTAGAGGGCTGGTGGTGTGTTTAGTGGTTTTGGTCGGCTATACGATTAACCACACTCCCTACGTCACACTTGCCCGGGGTGGGCGTGCATTAGGCATTCACAACAAGTGTTGGGTATCAAACCCACGGCACACAGTTCGTCAAAACATGTTTATGCAACAAGATAGCAAACGGGCGACTGATACTCGCTAGAAAGTAAAATGGGAGGGGGTAAGATGGCGGGTATTACTGTACAATACAAATATAGCGAGGGTAATTCCCCAACAGCGGCCAAACCAGTTTCAACAGATACCAGATGTCCAGACGAGTTCTCGCAATAAAATACACTTTAGTATCTTTACTACCACGGATGCTTATAGAAATTGTAAAAGGAATTTCAGACTTGAAAAAACACATTTAACGGTTAAAAACGCGAAATATTTTTTTTGACAATTTGATATATTTGAAGTTTTTAACAGCATATCAGGTAATAATTGTTTTTAGCGACGCGAATAATACACGTTTCAATTAAACACATTTAACGGTTTAAAAGGCGAAATTTGTTTGTTAACTTTTTTTTTTTTAATTTAAGTACGGCAGACGTTTCAAATGCCTTGCATAAGCTGTGGTCACAAGGGGACAAAAGTAGGAGGGGTCCGTCGTGTCAAAATCAATCATCGGTAATTAAATTAAAAATAAGTTAAGTTATATATTTCGCGTTTTAAACCGTTAAAGTGTTTTAATTTACTCACGCAAACTACAGACCAACTACTTCTAAAACGTATATTTAAAACTGCAATCTCGTTGCATTAAACACGAAAGGCCTTGGGATCGAATCCTAGTTAAACGATAAAACTTTCAATTAGGCGGTGTACAGAAGTCTGGCTGTAGTTTTCGAGAGTGGAATAAGTAATACATTACGCTTTTTATACCGTTAAAAGCGTTTTTTTCAAAAGTCTGATACAACAAAAATACTTTCGACTTTCAAAAGCGTTTGTGTTCAGAAGTCAGAATAACCATTTATCTATAACGTGATCAGTAAAACAGACACAAAAATGTGTTCGCCCCATACTAGCCCCCACTACTCACCCCAAGTAACTGTAGTTCAAAATTAATCATAGTTACTCTACGGATTAGGAATTTAGATGAATTCCAACAAACATTTGAGGAAAGGTTAAAACTAGAGATGCGCCGAGTAACGAGTACCGAGTTTTACTCGGGTCAATTTTTCGCGTCGGCTCGCTCTAATCTTCTCATAATTTTGTCTCATGCCTATTTATTCATTAGCTTGATTGATTTTATTAATTGAGATTTTCAAAGATTTCCTTAGTTAACTAATAAATACTTTTAGATTAACAATCTTGTTTTCTACCTAAATATCTTTTCTTAAACAACGTATACTCGTTATCACATAACCGAGTATTCGGCCGAGTGCGAGTACCGACCGAGTACTCGGTACATCTCTAGTTAAAACCGTCCAGTTCTGTTTTGTATGCTCGCTGCGCTTGCGTCGACACATTTGGGCCACAGCATAACTGGTTTCCATTGCCAGGAGTTGTCCTCTACGATCGTCAATTTTTGCAAGTTTGTGTCGAAATTGGTGCTCAAAATTTTGCGCACAAAATGCGGAGTTAAAACAAGGGAGGTTAAAAATATACAGAAAAACAATTTTTAAATTTGAAGACTTTATTTATATACTGTCTATAGTTTACGCAAGTAGTACACATTTAAATAAAACACTTAACGGTTTAAAACGCGATATATTAGCTAAAAATCATTTTCAAATAAGTTTAACTAATATATCGCGTTTTAAACCGTTAAAGTGTTTTATTTAAATTTAGACTTTATTTATATAAGATTACATAAAGTGCGAGTGGATTAATCAATGGTTATCTATACTAATTTCCTTATTGATCTAAATAATTCACACAATTTTACATATAAGTATATATAATATATATACAGGTATTGTAATTGTGTATTATTACTAGCTGTGTCAGCGACTTCGTCCGCGTAGAATAGTTAATTTGGATACCTAAATGTTTAAATAAAACACTTTAACGGTTTAAAACGCGATATATTAGTTAAACTTATTTACAAATGATTTTTAACTTCGGGCCGACGTTTCGGATGCTTTGCAGCAGCCGTGGTCACGGGGAGATATCTATATGTGTTTATGCAAACGTTACCTACGACGTCGGTCGCGTCCCTTCCCGTCGTTCTTGTAAGGTTATCTTAAAAGATACACATATAGCGTCGCGGACTATTTTTAAATAATTTAAAGAGAAATTATTTCTTCATACCTTTGCTTCGTGTATCTTGAACGGTTTTCGCAGCGTACGCTTTGGAAACCCGCAACGATAAATATTCCCGTTTTTTTTCACATTTCTCGCTGCATCTTCGCTTGTATTAGTCGCAGGGTAATGTTTTATATTGTATATCATATTATCATAAGTTAAAAGTGATTAAACTTTTAAATACGCGTTTTAACGGTTTAAAAAGCGCATAATTTAGTCAAACTAATTTCAACCCCACAATTCCCATGCTTTGTTACGCAGCCGTGACCATGAGGGCACAGTGTTTACCGTAATTGTTTATAGTGCTTTGATTAAATTTATTTTTAAAGTTTAATAATTATGTTAGTTAACAAATTTAAATATTTTTTGATTTCGATATTTATTATTATAGCGAGTATACTACCTGTTATCATCTATTTTCGTGAGACACATTCTGGCGATAGGCGTCAGAATATGGTTACATTTCAACTGTACAGCTTCGGAACCCTAAAAAAAATGTTCCTATCTTGATGGTATATCCATCGCCAATATTAGCTGTAGTGATAAGTATAAAATATATTATTACGACGTGATCAAATATACTATAATATATAATATGTTGGTCACGATTTATTTTAAGTAGTTTCTATAAGGCTTTTATAGACCAAAGCAGAGTTCCCCAAACTTTTTTATTACGTAGACCCCTTACCATGTTTTTCCGTGTTGGTTAGACTACTTACCTGATATTTATTTCCTGAATATTTTGAACTGTAGTGAAGTTTAGTGTTAACAACGAAGTAAAAACATGCACATGTATAATAAATACTGTCTGTAGTTTAGGCGAGATTATTTCCCCTATATGATTAATTAAATAAAACACAATTAACGGTTTAAATCTGACGTAACGTCTGGTTAAGTTAAAAATAATTGCATATAAGTTTAACTAATATAATATATACAATTCTGTATTTTAAACGTCAAAAGTGTTTTATTTAAATAATGATATTGAGGAAATAATAAATCAATTAAAAATAGGCAAATTCACGGAAACATTTAGTGTTTTAAAAATTTAGACTTTGTGCTACTGTTTCAATGTGAACTGTGCTTATTGCAATTCTGTTATCAGTAGATCACAGTTGAAAGTAAAAGTAAGTTGACGTATACTTCCTTTGTTGAAACCAGAGAGGAACCGGTTCGCTGTTAATGGGGGGGGGGGGGGGCTAAGATAGTAGGGGTGTGAAGCTCGCGTACTAGGAACTGGGAAGTAAAACTCTTTTAACGGTTTAAAACACGGAATGCCTATATGTCCTCCTCTATCATAAAAGCAAACAAACTATTCACCTTTACAATATTAGTATAGAGAGTTACTGAAATATTGTTTACAGTGATTGTCTAGGCAGCTTGGCGTCTGGGTTCAATGACCTCTAATAGGCTGTTGACAACACTGTTTTAAAACCGTAATGTAATTATACAGAACTTACATATAGATATATATAATTAACTAGCTAAGTCAGCGACTTCGTACGCGTAGAATAGATATTTTGGATATCAATTTTTGTTTTTGCAAGCCCCCTGTTCAACTCTAAATTTGAGCTGTTGACCCATGACGTCGTCCGCGTCCCGTCGTCCTTACAACTTAACCTCAAACGACAGACATATTGTCGCGCACTTTGCTTAGATCAATTAAAGAGGAATAAGTCCTTTTATATATATCTTTTTGGTTGTCTTGAACCGATGTTCCTTCGCTTCTATTAGTAACAGCGATGTTTTATTGCCTGTTTTTTTGCTTTCTTTAATAAAT